CGCTATTTTTCTTTATAGGTTGTATATAAAAGTAATTATTGTTTTACGGGTACGAGTCAGCATTAAAATATATCAACATTTTATTGTCTCCTGCGATTTGGCTCTAAACATCAAAGCACAGAGATAAATCAAAACTACAATCAAACTTATCTCGGACTTACAAGCACCTTATCCAACACCTCCTCGACCTCTGAGTCACTTTACCAACATGCGGCCACTTCATTCTTTACATATACAGTCGATGCATTCAGAGAGTATTCAGACTCCTTCAATTCTTTTACATTTTGTTATGTTGCAGCCTTACAGTAAAATGTCATCAGCCAATCCCCCATAATGACAAAGCAAACAGAGAATTTCTGAAATTCTTTGCAAATTAAATTTGAAAAAACTTTAAATATTTCACGGACAAAAATTTTGAGACCTATTGACATGGTACTTAAAAGTTTGTGATTATACAGTCTCATCGCTCGATACATATCAGAACTAAAACCAGGCCATGAGGTCGAAGGAGAAGCCTTTGACCCCTTTTGTTTTACATAACAAGAGAGTAATCTTGGATCTTGATGAAACATATCTGGCATGTTTAGGGGACTGATATTTATGAGGGTGTGTCTGGTGCAGATCCAAATTCTAGTCTTCCCCAAATCTGGGTCTCGACATAATCCTGTCTCTGAACTCTCTGAAGTTCTTTCAGCATTACTGCTTTGTTTTTGCTCTGATATGCATTCATGCATACATACTGTGTATCCTGTCAAACACGACCCAAACATACCACGAACAAACTTAACTTCACTGCACACAAATGAATAAAATATGTTGAGTCAGTAGTGAAAGCTTGGGGTGACAATCATGCACATCCACAAGGATAAATACACACTGGCATTCAAAGGGATTCTTGTTCCAATACATGTTAATATTTAAACGAGAAGTTTCAGTATCATCAGCACTGAATTATGAAGAACCTGGAAGCTATCAGAGGAAACGATTTGTCATTTGCAGCAAATATTTCATTGTTTTTCCAACACGTTAATTTCAGCCATTATAACTGAATAATAATTGATTATATTACTAAATAAACAAAAACAAAAGCAGTTAACAGAATTAAAATGTACAGATTATTGATTTTGTGTGCAGAAATTATAGAAATGTTTCCTCTGATAACCAACGTACAACATCTGTTTATATAATATTCTCACAAACAACACCAAGAACACTGAAATTATATCTTTGCTAATTTCAGTTTAAATAAAACGCATGTTAGTGAGTCGCACAACCTAACATCTGAGGAGCATGTTTAAATAATAAATACGTTCACAGTCTGGACCCTTAAGAAAAAACAAATTCCTATTCAGTGGTTTGCAATCAGCTGCCAAGGATATGATGTCACATTAATGTGAGAAAGCTACTGAGTTTATTGATTAATTATTGAGTAAATACTCACAAGCACCTCACGACTTGTACGGAAGATAAAGAGAAGCTTTGCTGACTTTGTCCAGTCGATACGTTTATAAAACGTGTCTCTCCAGGTGTTTAGAGTTGCGTTGCATCACTTGTCTGTTTGTTCACTGCATCAGGCAGCTGGAACTTGGCAGGAAGTCCTGGACATACGTGATCGCCGCCTTGGACAGATACGTCATGGTTCCATAGCTGCCACTGGGGGCGCTATCGTAGAAAAAGTTGCAGATCCCAGTCGCCGGGTCCTTTTCAAGGAAATAATCACTGGCGCTGTGAGATTTCTGGGGATGTAGAGGAAGACAAGGGGTGAACGAAGGTCAACAAAAAAACTAATATATAATATATAATATAATAGCTTATTTCAAACTTTTACTTCGATTGCAATTAATGAACTATTATTTTATAACAAACTGAAACTGCAGGCATCTATCAAGGACTTTCTTAAGTCCTTCTTAAGGGGAACATTTTCACAACCTCCTTCATCTTCGCCATGTTTGCCCACAGGTATGTGGGCAGTGACTGTTACATCATTTGAAATGCACATATTTCCTTTCAGACATTATGGCAGCATAAATAAGCTTTACAAATGTATCATGGCAGTAGAACCTGGTCGTTGAGGAAGAGGTCATTGGCCAAATGCAGGATGCGGTCCACATAGATGATGCCTCCGATGCTGTCAACATCCACGTCAGCGACCAAACCGAGAACCATCACAGTCTCCACCAGCAGCTGCCGGTACTCTGGCTGAGGGACATGGTTCAGGACAGTCTCCACCTGCACCGCAAACTTGATCTCTCCTGCTGTCATCTATACCGAAAACAGAATTAAGCACAGAAACCTAGAAGATAGTAAATCCATCTATAGCTGCATGTCTGCCAGATGCTACCTCTCTTGTGGTAGAAGACGGAAGCACATATCCATCAATGGAGAGGCCATGGCACTTCTGCAGGATCGTCCAGACCTTCTGGTAGAAACCCACAGGAACTCTGTTGATAGCTCCGTCCAGCCTGCGTCTCCTCAGCCACTGGCCTTGCCTCTCCTCCCAGTGCAGCTGTCCATCAGCTGGACCAGGACCCACAGGGGACAGGATTCCACTGGGGGTGGACGGGCTGCTGCAACGCTGTGTTGGGAGAGCAGGAGAGATGCTGATACAACATGTTTAATGGACAATCAGCACAGTGTACTGACCTTATCTCCATGTTTTTTTAATGTGTTCCTCAAATCCACCATTGGCCTTGTCAGTAGTGTTTGCACCACACAGGAAACGATTTGAGGGAATTTACCACCTTTTTTTCCTACATGTGGATTCATGCTCTCCAGGAGCTATGAATTGACTTTGATGTGTAGAATCAAAGAAACAACAATTATGAGCCGTTAAACTGAAACTCAGCCCCTGATGCATAAACAGACGTTTTTTTTATGAGGTACAATGACTATGTTTACATGGAGATCAATATTCCAACCGCTGACCTGATGTTTACATGAGCTAATATAATATCCCATTTATATTCCTGTTTACATTTTACAGAGCTAATGCTGATTATCACTCACATTAGCAATTTGTCCTGCTACTTGTTTACATCCCATCGCAGTGCATACGTTGTCATGCAGTTGGTAGGACGTTAAAATGTGATTATTTCTTATTCCGTGACTGGGTCAAGGTAATCACAATATGCTGTTTACATGTCAGTGACTTATTCAGACTATTGTCTTTATTGGGTTAATGTAAGAATATTGGTATCCATGTAAACTTGTCTACTATACTGACGAGAATAACAGAATAGACAGGTTTGTCTTACCATAACAAATTACATGTAAATAAGTTGTCATCTCTCTCTCTCTCTCTCTCTCTCACTCACACACACAAACATTTAAAAAGATTTCTCAATCTAATCGAGCAGTTCAGTCAGGCATGCTTGACATTACAACACAGTGCAGCAGGCTGGTGTTATTCTGTGTTTTAGTGTTTTTTTATTACTTTTTAAAAAATGAAGGTGGTCGATTTAGCTTAAGTTAGGGACAAGTGCTATCTGTGTAGTCACAGCCAGTTTTTTTCACATTAAAGTTAAGAATTGCTCTACTGTAACTTGAACAAACTTAATTTGTTTATAACAATTGAAATTTCTTTTTAAGTTTTCATTGTGTGTGTTTATAAACAGTGATGGGTTTTGTGCCACTGACACAAGCTACATCAGCACTTTGACCACATGGACAACACTTGTTAGTAGATTTGATTTATTGCTGGTTTATGTCCCTTCAGGCAAATAATTATATCATATTAACAAAAAGCTAAAATACCACCAATGTTATCGTCACATGCAGAAATGCACATAAATGTTCACGTGACTAAATAAATGTAACATCTGGATTAAAAAAACATTCTAACTACAACGACCCCGTGCAGGACAGAGCAAGATCATTTAAAGCAGATGAGGTGGAATGGTTTACCGTGGAACGAGGAGAGGTGACATTGCTACTTAAGGAAAGACCCCCGCTGATGATCTACACATGGATATGAATGACAGAGAGCAGTTTGAGATGGGACACATGGTTCTCATACTACAGTCATGATGACGCTGCAGCCGCACAGAGCATAACGTTTCCATCTGTGAAGTGAAAAAAACTTAACAAAATATTCATAAAATAAACACAAGAAAGATCATTCGATAAAAAAATGTCAAACTCCATGGTAAAATGCTTTCACAAATGAGATATGAGGCTGCGCTGACTCTAGTTCTGGATTAGTTCACAAGTTTTTAACACTCTTCTACAAAAACACAAATCAGAGAAGCGAGGCATGTTTTCCTACTGAAGTGAAAGACGTTCCACTAATGAGGGGCGCGGCTGTGGCTCACAAAATGTTATGACAGGTTTATGAGCAGGATTTAGGTGGAGGGACGGTCGTCGAGGAAGACGTTAGTAACAGTCGCATGCTAGAAATGATTATCAAATTCAACCCACACTCAGCGGCCGAGAGTCATCCAGCTGCAATCAAAAATACAACACTGTTAAAGATAAGTAGATAATTAGACAGAGAGAGGGGGATGGATGGATGGATGGATGGATGGATGGATGGATGGATGGATGGATAGATAGATAGATGGATAGATGGACTTGTGCCTCCCACCTGTTTTATTTCACTCTTCAGTTTGTGTATTCCAGTGCGTTCAGTCTTGGTGGCACCAGTGTGGCCGAGTTCATGGATGGAGATGGCCGGACTAGTGGCTGTTGACTGGATGGGGCGCACTGATGAACAAAGACAAAAGAAAAAAAACATACACTGAGTTCCTGAAATAAGCATTACTGCCAATTGTTTTTTTTGGGGGGAGGGGGCAACATTGAGAAAACAAACAGATTAATATGAAAGGGTTTGGATACCATCTGGACGGATATAACTTCGACTCTGGTGGGACTCGAACCCACAACCTTTGAATGCCTCCATCCCAGTCTGACCTAGAAGTCCAATGCGCTGTCCATTGCGCCACAGAGCCACACATACACACACATATATCCATTTGTATCGAGAGAGGACAGTGAGGCTCTGTGGTACAATGGACAACAGCGCATTGGACTTCTAGATTAGACTGTCATGAATAAATTCAAAAGTTGTGGGTTTAAGCCCCACCAGACTCAAAGTGATGGCTTTATCAGTCAGTCCAGTATGTTGCTGCAGACTGAGAAATATCCTTTGTTTGTGGCTCGTTATCACCTATTTTCAAAGAAAGTCAGAGAAAAGGTGAAAAGTAAAGTTAACTGACCGCTTCTCTCAACCCCAAATTCTTTGCCGCTGAGGATGTGATGCAGGAGACTCTTCATGCCGAACGGACTCAGGCTCATCAGACTCTCAGATGCCTCCTCCCCTAGACACAAGGCACACACTTTTCTAGTCTAAGATCCATAATGTGTGAGCTCTATCAGGAAAAGTTCGATCACCCTGCAGGTCACCAGTAGACTAAGTGTGTGTAAACATGCTTGGTTCTCCTACCAGAACAGTGCAGGCTACGGGCCAGCTCAGTGGCCATCACTTGCATGATGAGTCCAATCCTGAGCCGAAGCATGTCCCCGAACAGAGCAGGCTGGGAGCGCACGTACATGGCAAGATAAACCATGATTTCCTGTGTGACAAACATGCACCAGTTTAAGATCAAGTCAGATAAAAGTCACATGTCGGGTCCAAACTGTTAGAGACGTACCTGAGTGAGTACAGCTACACTGATGTCCTGACCACTGGCCTCATAGATGAGTGTGTTCAACTCCTCGGGAGGAAGTGGCCTGAGAGGAAACAGCGAGGACGAGGACTTCCGTTATTGTGTGTTAATTAATTCAACAAAGTCTTCATGTGAGCACTAAATAACTCCAGCCACCTCTGTTAATACGGCTTACACTGTGATAACTCTTTCCCTGGGTTCAGGAGGTAGACCCACAGTCAGCTGCTTGTGATGGGAGATCAGATCTGTGCAGGCCTGAGGAACAGACACATCCAGGGGGAGTCAAATTAGTCCAATTCAATCAGACAGCTCCCGTTTGCCGAGTTTATTTGCAGCAACAGAACGTATAGTTTGAGATTCAGGCTCCGACTTGGAGATGGACGCTAGGATGGTGGAGGCGCTGACTGCTCAGGCAGTGATACTGACAGCAGGGCAGCAGAGGCATTGGAAAGCAGAGGGAGAGACATTAAATCTCTAAACTTTTGGAGTTATCAAGCTCAAGAGGACAAAAAACTGGATTGTGATGCCTTCACCTTTGATCACTCAAATCTAATCAGTTTATCCATGAGTCCAAATGAACATTTTTGCCAAATTAAATTGTGCAAGGTTGCCGTTATCTTGACTGATCTTTCACCAAATTCTTATAGTTCATCTTTGAGTCCAAGTGAATTAAGAAAATAAATTCCCTCAAGGTGAGCTCGGGATGGATGAACGACCTGAAAACGCGATGCCTCTGGCGGCTGGCTGTCGTATAAAAATCAGACTATGACTCGTCACTGACCTCTGCGAGGACCTCCACTCTCTTGCGTAGTATTCCAGAGATGTATCTGATGAGACCCCACTCTTTACCAGCTCCAGCTTGAACATAGAGCTCCTCCAACAGAGAACGCACACTCATCCCACCCTGCCCAGGACCTGACAGCTCCACCAGCCAATCAGCGCCTCTGGTCATGAGAAGAAAACCACATTGTTCATGTGTTAGTGTGCCATACGCTACCATTAATCAGTGTGTTTACAGTTCATTACGTGTCCGTACTTCATTCCGTAGAGAATGTAGAGGATGTCAGCCTGGTCCTGCAGAGTGGGACACTCTTTCAGCTGCCTCACCAACGACGCAAAGTCTGTGTTGCCCTGAGAGTCTCGAGGCAGGTGCAGATCAGCGACGCTGTGGGGCTTGTGAGGGATGAGAGTGTGACACAGATCCACCTCAGATCAACAGTGAAGTCACGACAGAGACGTGTTTGCTTGATGAAGGATCTGCTGCACTCACCTTGTGCTGCTTTGCATGTGAGCTGTGCTGAGGATGAGGAACCACAAGGAGGTTGAGAGATCTGCGATGTTTGCTCTTGAGAGGAGCCACAGGCAGATACATGGCAGACTCTGAAACGTACACACACACACACAAAAAACGTTGTTATTATATCTACCTAAAGAAGATAATAAAGCTGCAAACAAACTTGTGTTTTGTCCCTTTTTAAAGAGAACGTGCTTGAATCCATAAATGCATTAAAATACAGTGGCTTTGTTATCAGACGCTCGTCCCAGGTATGTGCACAAGCACTGACATTTTTCAACCAAGTTTTTTAAGGATGACTCACTGGTTAAGTTCAAGCCCTGGACCTGGGCCATAAGAGACAGGATGTCTCTTGTTGTGTGTTCCGCACTGAAGACATGGTGCTGGCCCCTCTGGATGGGAGGGAGATGGCTCTTGGTGTTGGTGCTGTGGAGGAGCTGCGTGAGGTACTGCTCAAACATGTCTGCTGAGCTCTCTGGAGTTCAATACAAACACACCACAATTATATACAGTTCAACTTCAACTAATCAAATACGACTGAAAGAAACACACAGTTTCTTTAACACTAACTACCTGAAGGCCCACATTTGTAATATTCTCCATATTCCTCTCCATAGTCGTCCTCGTCTTCATCTTCAAGTAAGCTGTCATCGTTCTCTTCATCCAGGAAGCTGAGGCGAGTGTGGAAGGAAGTGGTCTGGAAACTGGAGAGGTCGGACATCTGCACCCTGTCGTAACATCCACACAAAAATTACCACAACACACATGTAAAAGCACATATTCTATTTGCAGTAGTTGTGTTACAGATGGAGAGAGACCTCGCGCCAGCAAAATAGCCATCCTGTAGTTTCCTGAGGGTTGCTAGGATACACGGATCAATCGCATCCCCATCTTCAACTGGACGTAAAAAATAAAGACAAAGTCAGTGCACAAAGATCAATTGACAAAATAACATGGGATTAAACAGTATATATCTTCATGATCACAGCTGCATACCCAGATAACACAAATGGAATGCCTCCTCAACTGTTACAGAACATTCTGTTTGTTTAAAATAACCCTCTAACATGTTTCAAATGCAAAATGCTGGAATAAAAAAATGCCATTTAAAATTCACTTTACAATCTGTATGAAACAGTTAAAGGTGGCTCTGCTTTGGGTTGATAGCCTCATTACCCAGCATGCTGCGGGTGATGGGGAAAGTGAGCGTGGGTCGTCCTGTCATCCTCCAACAAGAGGAGAGATAGGCCAGCTCTGTTCGTAACATCTCCACAATCATCTGGTTGTCCAGTGCCAGGTAGAAATGATGCTGATCCAGAAACTGGACGGTGAGAACACAAAAGAAGAACAGAACAGGCAGAGAGAGAGAAACCCAAGTATCAGAGGTTAGACTTCATCACTGCCTCCTTCTAAATAGCTTTGTTGTTTTGATTTTGAACATATCATGCTAGTTTTACCTGCGGGGTGAATATATAAAAGCGATTTCGGATCTCGTAGAATTTGGATGTTCCCAGAACGCCGATGTGTCTGTGGGGCCTCCCACTCAAATCCAGTTTCTTGCAGTTCCCTGTGACAACGACACATGATGTTACTACAGACGCACACATGTGCCTGACTGAGGAAAAGAGCGCTCTGTGCTTATTTACCCAGTCTGACATAGACATGGCTCAGGATGCGAGCAGGCATGACCCTGATAGGCAGAACCTCTGACATTGTCTGAACCGTTATCCCATGATCACTTAACAGCTCCTGGACCTCGTCCGACTCGGCCAGAACACAAACTGAAAGAAAGGAGAAGAAAAGAAAATACTTCACCATTGAAACTCTTCATTGCAATAACTCTCCAAGAGAAAAGAACTAAAGGTGGTAAATCTGGTTTTAATCCAACTTCTGACACTTTTCTCAAACTATGCATCAATCACCAACCTTGCACGACAACATCTGGCTTGAAGTTTGTGGAGAATCTCCTGTTGAGAGGATCTATCTCTCCTGGTGCTAAAAACCCCTTGTAGTGAAACAGACAGAGACTGTGAATTATTACAGGGAACACGATGGCAGAAGCTTTGTGATAGAAAGTGTGGTGTGTAGAGCTTCAACCATCTACTGAATATCTTACATCAACACCCTTTTTCCTCATTTATACAATATAAAACCACATTATCCCTGATTTGTGAGAGTAACAGTAAAATATGTGCATGTGCATATTTGAAGTGGTGCACGAAAAGGAAGGGAATACCTCAGCCAGAAGTGAACTCAAGATGTAGAGGGACTGGCCCCACATGTGCGGCAGCTGCCCCATGGCCACTCTGTCCACCGAGTGAGGATTGCTACACTCTTCCTCCACCTGTCAGAGGGAAGATATGTTTTCTCATTCTTATTTGAATGCTATTTTATACAGCTGCAGTTGTTCAGATGTGACAAAGACTTTTTATTTGACATTCACTTCGGATGAGGAATAAACCAGCATTGTGTGTGTGAACCGTTCATTGAATATGGAACTTAACTGCTTTGAGATACAATAAATTGGTGTTTTCTGTAAAACTGTTGTAAAATGTTGTTGGCCATTTAATAATCATGCTGACTGACTTCCATCATCCCTGAGAAACACACAACTGATTAAACACAGTATATCTTAGAGCTACTTCATGACATATTTTTATGGTGTTGCTGTTTATATTACTTTGGGTCAGTTGCAGATAGAATATGACAAGAACTGAGGGTGTATCTGTGGCGTCCCTCTTCAGGGAATGTGATACCTTGTCCTGTGGTACAGAATAAAGTTCAGGCACAAGTTTGATGCCGTTCTTCCCTCTGATCAGAATTCCCTCCAGGGCCTCCCTGTACTCCTGAACCTGTGAAAAGTACAAGTCCAGTCAAGTCTGCACACTTGTGTGCCAACAGGAGAAACTGCATGTGGACGGGTGCACTTGGTTTGATCACCTGCTCTTGGTCCCCAGCAAAGATTCCGTCCAGGATGAAGTACGTCCAGAAAACAGGCCATTCGCATTCGATGTTCTCAAACAGTTTGAGCTCCGCAGGATCGTAGTGCAGCCGAGTGGGATCCTAGTGACACAACAGCAGGGAACGTTAACCTTCCAGCTCAAATGATACACCACACAGTTCACTTAAAAATGCCTAGTGAATCACATCTACTAAAAACATGCACTTCCTCACTCATCAGATACTTAAAATGTGAACTGTTTATACCATATTAACCTCAGTTCTCACATTTCAAATAGTCAGAACATCTCACCTCTTTAGGACAACGATACCCATCCCTGATGAAGCGGCAGCAGCCAAAGCGACCCTGACAATGATACCAGAGAACAGAAATTTCAGACTGACATGAACTGTACGCAGTCAGTGATTTGTACATTTTTACCAGGGGGGATGAGCAGTGTGTGTGTGTGTGTTGTTCCCCCTGAAAATTGCCTACTGACTGTACATACGAGGACATTTATGAGGTAAAATTGTTGTGTATTGTTTCTATGGTCGTCCACCACATATTATTTGATTCTCCATCTGAGACTGTACCTGCAGTTTGCTTATGATTTCTGACTTGGTGATGGCCACCAGGTCAGCGTCCTCCACAGCAAAAGCAGGGAAGGAAATGACCGACAGAAGACCGGCGTCAATCTCCTTGGAAGTGGAAGCTCTTGGCAGCATGGAGCAGAGGATGGACTAAGGGAAATCACACAGACAAGCTGAGCAGAGTAAAAAGGAGATGAGCCGTCGATGATACTGAGAAGGCTTGAGAGAAATTCAGAGGTACCTGACAATGTTCCACTTCATCCGGCAAAACATGGATGACTGACTTCGGTCCTCCGTGAGCGCCGAAAAGATCCAGCTCGTCTATGGCCTCCAGGGCAGCCTGCAACACCCCCATCCCCAGAAAGCAATATACATTTAACACTTTCTACTTTTGTTCTTACTGTGCATCGTGAACACTGATGATTAACAGACTCTGCTGTACCTTAGCCATTCCTACGGAGCTGCCATTGAGCTCGGGAATGCCCTGGTTGGTCTTGTCACCTCGCTCCCACATCCCATAATCCTGCAGGAGGAAAAAAAGCTCATGACTTTAATTTCTTATCATATACTCCAGTCGTTGAACTGTCTCCATTTATTTAGCATTGCACTGCATTAACTGTCAGATTCATGATGGAGAGTTTATATAAATAGATGCAGTATGCACTACAGGTGTCAACTTTTTTTTATTCTTCGCAGGTCAGCTGTGGCTCAGGTATCAGAGCAGTCGTCCTCCAACCAGAAGGTTGGCAGTACGATCCCAGTCTTCCCTGTTCTGCCCGCTGAAGTGTTGGGAAAGATACTGAACCCAAAATGGCCCCTTCTTATACAAATACTGACCATTTGCTAAAACCATGGCTCCTACATTACCCACAATTCAACTCTGAGATTTGGTTGCGGGATGTTTCACCCTGATCATTTTCTCATCCACAAACTCTGGCTCTCTAGCAAACCCTTTCCCACACTTGAATCTTACTCACCGCCACTTTGTAGGCAGCTTCTATGTAGAAGACCAAGTTTTGGATAAAGGCCACCTCATCCAGGTTTGAGATGATACGAAGACCTGCACGATAACGACACACACTCAGCAACCAACTCGTGTCCAGTGCTGGTCGCATAATAAATGTGTCACCTGGATATTCAGACTGTCCCTCTTGAGAGCCTGCAGTGCTTGCCAGAAAGGAATCTACACCTACAGTATGTGTGGCACCTTTAAACCAAGAGATCTACAAAATAAGAATGAGAAAGGCACCAATCTGCATCACTGCTGTACCTGACGCTGTCATCTGAGCCAGCATCAGCAGGTAAATGGAGGTGGCATCCACCTGTAGATGCCCCCACTGGTCATCCGCGACCACCGTGGCACAGGTGGGCGTGTCGTATTTGGCGTGCAAGCAGTCGTTTGTGCTCTGGGTGTGTTTGAACTTCTCCACCTTGGCCACCTGAAAGCACATGAACGTATGAATGCAAATACCAGTGGAGAGCTCAGTGGTGTTTGTTGAGGCCAGAAGGGACCACAAAGAACTGATACTTGAAATAATTTAAAATGTCTTATTATAAAGTATTAATAAATCATAGTATAGAAAGCACAAATCAAAAGTCAGAAAAGAGACATGGGGGATAAAGTTTTCAAACTGCCCTCAGTTTCATATGAAATCTTTAGGACCGACACTCACAATTCTTTTTATTATTGACTAATTTGTTAATAATTTTTATTGATTAATGGATTCGCCGTTTGTTCAATAATCTGTCAGAAATAGTGAAAAGTTCTTATCATATTAGCATATCTGCCTAACAAACTACTCAAAACAATGAATCGCTTCTCAAAATCGTTGAAAATAATCTTTTTGTTAACTAAGGGATCAATGTTATGACCTTTGCAGTTGTGGATATTTTAATTTACCTGAGCCTGTGCAACACACAGGTTTCAGTTTAAACATTGTTTAAAAAACATATATTAAATTAAAATATAGATACATCTCAAGAAGTGTTTAAATACATCTATTCATATCTTTATATACTTGATTACAGCACAATCAAGATTTCTAATCACCGTCTGCTGTTTTAAACTCCTCAACATCACCGTGAGTCTCAATATCAATTTCTTTAGACTTGCTGAAGAGGGATGAAGCCTCTTTGCTAGATCACAAACATATCGATAATCATAAGTGTATTTTTCTGATCAACAACATAGTTTTATCTGCCTTTGCAGATAGTTACTGAATGTGTCCAGAAAACAGGTTGCGCTGTTTATGTGAATCACTCTTGTTTAAATACCAAAGTGCCCCAGATAACACGCTGTGGTTTCTTGGACCAGGAACACTGGCTGAGTGGATTTCCTGGTCCACGTGACGTTTCTGTGAGCAAACACAAATGAATGTGCTGAACTGATGTACCTGTCTCATCATGCACTGTAGCAGCCCCTGCATCAGTTTCACCACACTCTGCAAAGCAACCACAACCACACCTCATCAGGGAGCAGCGAAACAAACAAAACATCTCAACTATCCAACCGTTTCCTTTGTTTAGTCCAAAAATGATATAAAGTATGTTTTGGTAATAAATAATTCTGTTTTGTATATTAAAACCAAACTGAGGCAAATAAAAACTGCTCATTTTTATTACTAAGTAAACAAACAATGTATTCCATTTATAGATTTGCTATTAATCAATAACAAAAACTCTCTCTCTCTCTGTCACACACACACACCTGCTCCAGTTCGTAGGCTTTGGCCTTGTCTTCATCAAGGTCTGCATTCTTGCGGTAGGCCATGCCCAGCCCCCACACTGCCAGGACACTGTACACATTGTCCCTCACCCAGGCATCCTTCTTCTGGGTACTGGCGGGCAGAAGACCTGTCACTGGGTTCTGAAACAAATGCACACACATGCTGTCTTTCTGCTGTTCTGCTTTTATAATTCAGATAAGAGAAGGTCTGACAATGGATGAAAATGTTCCTGAATGTGTTTGTCTACAACTGTGTTTGTCTACAAAAGTGACATCGTTCATGTTTCTTGCTCTGTCCACATAAAGATTCTTGGTAAGAAAAGCTGGCACAATGTTCTATCAGCCGTGGAAGCTATGGGTCACAGTTTAGAGGAGCTGTTGACGCTGATAAAGCTGCATAGTTCTCTGGTCCTCAGTCTATTCCAGGGGCTGAACTTTGGACATGCCTTGTTTATTTCTATGCAGCTCAGTCTGGTTGAACCTGAACTTGAACTTATAGAGACCTCGAAACATCAGGAAAAGATGGAGGGTCACAAAAATATAAAAAGTAGTGGTGGAAAGAAAGTATTCTGAACTGAAGGTCAAGTTTGGAGTACTTGTACTTTAAGTTGTATATCACAGAGTGAGTGTGCGTTACACAGTTGTAATTCAGTAACATTATGTACTTTATTCTGACATTAATGTGCTTTGTTTAGTGGTGCTTTCATTTTTGGAACGCCAGTGTACTTTGAAGCAAATCCATGAATTTTATGCTATTAACTTTTTATAACTCAGTGATATTTGTAGTCTGATAGCAGGTACACCTTATGGGAGAACAAGGGGAAATAACTATTTGCATACAGTTTCAGTATTTCCACAAAGAGCCAGAAAACAAACAGTAGACTGAAGCTGAAATAAGTAATTGATTAATTTGATGCAGTCCCCCCCAAAAAATTAAACTGGCACCAGAATCTGGCATATGGACATTTGCTAGTTGCCAAGTTTTTTATTACAGTAATCTCAACATCTGTGGGTAATTAACAGCTGATCGGACAACAATCTGTTCAGGAAATAATGAGAATAATAATGATGAGGTTTTAAAGTTTAAAACACGAAACAATCATTTGATTTGTAATAACGATAACTAAAGCAGAGCAAAATAACAGGTCTGGTTGGTGGCACTGGGTTGTGATAATAGAATAGACCCTACAGAGTGAGGACATTTTTGGAAAGTTGGGACATTTCGAACAGTCCTCACTTTTTCAATGGGCCATTTGAGGGAAGACTTGATTTCAAGGTTACAATTAGGTGAGGGTGAGGGTCAGGCATTTAGTTTGGATGGTAAAGATCAGGGTAAGGGGCTGTGGGGAATGGTTAGTGATAGTCAATGAGTGTCCTTACTAAGAAGGAAGTACAAACGTGTGTGTGTGTCTTTGTATGTGTGTGTGTGTGTGTGTGTGTGTGTGTGTGTGTGTGTGT